AGGAGAGTCTCTTATCTCAGGTTGCACAGAAAGCAATTTTCAGGGAATGTAACCAAGATTTCAATTATATGCAACATTTATTGTCCATTGAAAAATTGTTCTCTGGTTCAAACGACTGTTCAGAAAAGTCCTGCCTGTCTGTGTCTCTGTCCTGTTCACTCCTCCTCTGTCCCCAGTGGAACTGTTCTTTCTCGGGCTTGTGAAGCCCCTCTCTGTGGGACAACTATCCGAGCGCACGGACTCCAGCCTGCTGCCCAGCAGTGAGGGCTTCTCTTTCCACCTGACTCCCACCGGAAGTGTGTCTTCCCGCCGAGAGGCTTTGGAAACAGCCTTCCTGGACCCTGTGGCAAGGAGGCCGCGTGGGAACCCAGCCCTGGGCCTCCAGGTTGGCCACACAGAAAAACAAGCTGAGAACATTCTGTGGTGAGTGATAAGAACCTGGGGGGCTGTGTGGCGGCTCACAACTGTAATCCCAGCACTTTGGGAGGCAGAGGTGAGAGGACTGCCTGAGCCCAGGAGTTTCAGACCAGCCTGGGCAACTCTGTCTCTACAAAGTATTTTTTAAAACTAGCCAGACATGGCGGCAGGTGCCTGTAATCCCAGCTACTCAGTAGACTGAGGCAGGAGGATCCCTTGAGCCCAGGAGGTGGAGGTTTCAGTGAGCTGAGATCATGCCACTGCACTCCAGCCTGAGTGACAGAGAAAAACTCTGTCTCAATTTAAAAAAAAAAAAAGAACTTGAAGGTCAAGGTACTATGTCCTGGCAGAGCCCATATAGTGAGAGGCAAAGGGCTGTGCTATACCTGTGCAGGAGGCCTGCACTGGCCCGGAATGCTGTCTTCGGCCACACTGGCTAAGGGTGTTCACCGGCTTCCAAGACAGGAGCCGGGATATGCCCAGGGCCTGACTTGCCTGCATTGAAATGTACAGTCTCCTCCCTACAACAACCAAGTCACAGAATTCCTTAAGGGAGACATTGCCCCCTCATCCTAATCCCTTCTTTTGCAGGCCCCCGCTCGAGGTAACAGGAATTGGTGCCAGCAATCCCAGGCCACCCATCCTCGATGACCTTCAGTCCTGCCCCTAGACCTAGGCAGGCAGGGACCCTGCTGTCGCGGCCTCGGATTTTAGAAGGCCCTGCTCTGGGCCTCCCCTCACCACACAGGGCCCAGGGCACCCATGGCATGGGGACTGGTTCCCTGCCCACCTGCTTTCAGGATGTGTGCAAGAGGGGGGCCGGGCACAGAGCTGGATCCACAAGCCCCAGTGTGGGATGGAGCGGGGGTGGTTTCCAAACCCAAAAAACGGTGTGAGTGTTTCAATTCTGTCACTCATGTGATCCCTTGGAGTTTTATTTGTGTGTAAAATTTAAAAGCATTTAGCAGAGTACAAACTGCAAGGTGTAACATCTTTGTTTGAAAAATACAAATTTAGTTCCACCCAGTAAATTTTCACAGTGAGCATGTTTGAGAACCAGCACTTGGATCAAAAAATAAAACATTGCTGGAACCCCTAGAAGCCTCCCTCCCTTGTGACCTTCCAAGGGTAAACACAGCCTTCTCTTTTTCTTTTTCTTTTTGTATCCCAGCAACTTTGGGAGCTGAGTGGGCGGCTTGCTCTCAGCCAGAAGTTTTGAGATCAGCTTGGGCAACTTATATGGGAGCCTCGGTCTCTTACAAAAACAAAAAATGTAAGCCCAGTGTGGTGGGCAGGTGCCTGTAGTCCCAGCTTACTCGACGAGAGCTGAGGTGGAAAGGATCGGTTGAACCTAAAGGCGGAGGTTGCAGGGAGCTGAGATCTGCCACTCGCAGCTCAGCCTGGGGGACAGAGTGCAGACCCTGTTCACAGAAAAAAAAAAAAAAAAAAAG